CGGCCAGGTCTTCTGCAGGTACCGATGTCAGAAAGACAAGAGCCGCCAGAGGGGCTCAAACCGCTCATCTTTCAGTTAGCAGCTCCCCGCTCACTCCGCTGCACTATTCAGTCTCCTTCAACCCACTGCTCGTTTACCCCCATGATAAACCTAATCAGGGTTCACCAGAAACTCCAGGAAACTGGGAAGGATCGGAATGTACAGGACAGACTTCCCGAGAGCCTGAGGTTCGAATTCACCCAACACGACTGCCAAGGAAAGGAATGGCAAACAGTCGCCCTACAGCTCAAAGTGGAGAATCCCCACGGTGACAAGATGTGAGGTCAGTGTGGTGGTGTCCACTCGGGCAGCAGGGGGATCCAGGCCAGCAGAGCCGGCCGGGGACGTCAGTCACCTCCTCCAGTGGTGCCCACCAGCGGCCACCACCATGCTCCCGGGGCTCCTTGCACGTCGGGGTGCATCATGGGAACGTGGGCATCCGTGGAGACAGCATGCTACAATTTCCTCTTCAAAACAATATCAGAGCTTTTTCCCTGTTATTTTTCCAGAAGAGAGTTGAGCAGAACATATAATAGAATTCACTTTTTTATAATTTGGGGTTTGTTTTATAACATCTCACTGTCTTGACACTTTCTTTTCTCCAGTGGCTCCTCTGAGCTGTTCTCCTGACGGATGGAGACAGAAGGGGAAGCTGGGGCTCCCTCCGTGAGAGGTCCTTTGTGGTACGGACACCAGTCCAAGGACACCCCAAAACTGAAGCGAGCCCTGAGGAGGTCCTTTGTGGTACGGACACCAGTCTAAGGACACCCCAAAACTGAAGTGGGCCCTGAGGAGGTCCTTTGTGGTATGGACACCAATTCAAGGACACTCCAAAACTGAAGTGGGCCCTGAGCGTGATGGTGTAAGTGACCTGGAGGCTTCACACTCAGAACCTCCCTCAGCTGTCACAGCCCCTCAGGGCTCCTGCGAGACTCCGTCCTGGCTCCATCTTGTACCACCGTAGACCCGTCACCACTGTCCCCTGCTGTCAGGGACGTGTAATCAGGGTATTTTGGTCACAGAAAAAGGAGTACACTGTGTCCCCTGACGGGCTCCTAGCCCTGAGGATCCACCAGCTGCCCCTTGGGTGAAGGATGGACATTCTCCCTCCTATTAACAGCCGTGGGGACCTGGCAGGGGGTCGCCACGACCTGGGGTCAGCTTGCTGGCAACACGTTTGTAGTTTGAGTGTTGTGGGAAGGTCTGTATCTGCCATCAAACTGCCCCCCAGCCTCTTCGTGGCCGCCCACCGTAGCTCTTCCAAACCCGCCCTGTAGCTGCAGTCCAGCCAGGTCCCTGCCTCAGGAGACCCCAAGCACCACGACGCCCAGCACAGCCCGGTCGTGGCCCAGCCCCACCACGCACCGGCCAGGTGCTGGGAACCACAGGCTTTCGCCTGCTGGCCGGCCGGGTGCCAGCCCTTTCTTCCTAGCCTGTGGAGGTCCGGAAGCTCCGCGGACGTGTGTTCAGCATCACCGGCAAGCCCCCTGCCAGCGAGTGATTGCGTCCTGTTAACTCACACACTCTCCATTCACTTTCCAAGACTAATCTTCACTGGAGGCAACTGCCCGTCTTCCTTCCTGGGACCACATGGTAGATCAGAACCCCCGACCTCTGGTTACTGACACTTTACACACTACACCACCAGAGAGTAACACCCCTCTGCCGACAGACAGGAGGCGTGCTGGCCAGGATGGAACCTGGGTCTCCCATGTGGAGGGCGAGGACACTGAGCCCCCTTGCCCCTTATGATGGCCAATGACGTCATCGGTTCCCTGTGACTAACACAGGCAGGGGTCATCAGACATCCTGGAACAGGGGACAGCTGTCACCACATTAACCAGGGCTGGTATCCGGATCAGAGGAAGACAGCAACACCAGTGTTACACAGATGACAAGACCTTGTTTATGGCAAGTGAAAGCCACTTTTAGAGCTCACTGAAGAAGACCCCAGTTACAGCTTTCACTATGGATTACACGTCAACATGTTGTTGTTATGTGCCATTGAGTTGCTTGTGACTCACAGCGACCCTATGTATAAGAGTCCTGAAACCTGCTCTATCCTGTGCCAACTTTACTGTCTCTGACACACCCAGTCACTGTATAATCCATCTCATCGATGGTCTCCCTCTCTTTCTCCATCCCTTCACCCTTCCAAGCATGACGTCCTTCTCCAAGGCCTGGTCTCTCCTTGCAACATTCCAAAGTATGTCAGATGAAGCTTCAGAATCCTTTCCTCCAAGAAGCAGCCTGTCTCTCTAGGATGAACTTGTTTGTTCTCTTAGCTGTCTATGGTATATTCGATACTCTTCTACAACACCACAGCTCAAAGGCATCAATTCTCCGTCTATCATCCATAGTCACTGTCCAGCTCTCTGACACATAGCAAACAGTTGTGAAGACTATGACCCGGATCAGGCACACCTTAGTCTCCAGAATGACGTTGACATGTCAACATAAAGAAAACAAAAATGCCCACCAGTGAACCAACAGACAACATCGTGATAGATGGAGAAAAGCGTGACGTGGCCAATGAGCTCACTACACTTAGATCCACAATCGACAGTTACGGTCGCAGCCGTCAGGAAACCTAAAGCCTGGCTGACTTGAGAATATCGGCCATCAGGAACCTTTCCAAAATGCTAAAGCGCAAGGCAATCCACCTGAAGACGAGGCCTTTCCAACTGCTTTCTAAACAGCT